TGCAACAGAAACTCAACAGCTTCCTGTCTTGGTTTATACAAACCAAAATAGCAGAGAGTTAAAAAACAAAGAAAAAAGCTATTATCTCTCCCCATGGGTTAAACAGCACATAAACCTCAAAAAGGCACATGAGCAAAGATAAATGGGCTGTTGCAGTGTTCATCTCTTTTGTTTGTTGTAAATTATTGTGTGTAATTCATGTTTCCTGTCCATAAATACCAGAGGAACTTGGAGACATGGAATCCATTCTAATTCAGTAAAGACAAAAACAACTCCTTTTGAGCCCATCTGGAACTTGTTTTTATCATAATTGTTTTAGGCTCAGTAACGAGTTCAAGATCTAACTGCCGTCACTAATTGTTTCAAGAATAAACAGATGCTTTGTTTAAAGGTGGCAGCTCCCATTTTGCCCAGCACAGCACTCTCTGGGGTCGCAGGATGAAAGGAGCTGTGCGCCGTGTCAGCACAGGCCCTAACGAGCATTGGCGCCCTTGTCGGGTGCTCACCCCACTGGCAGCTGGAAATCCAGCCCCCAGCCCTGCATGTGGAGTGTCCAGCCAGTGACGTGTGCCCTCTGCTCTTTAACACCGCTGGCATTTTGCTTGTAACTTCATCTGATGGCATTTTGCAGTGTGTCATGCTGTGACAAGTCATACCTGCTCTGATGACGCATAGGCACCTCCTCCAGCGGGGCTGTGGGACACTCAACGGAGAGTGTTCATTCCCCGGCCATATAACCCCAAGCCCCTTGCCTGGAGTAATGCTCCACCCCCTTGCTTAGAGCCCTGCTTATTTTCTTCATTTGAAAACAAAGATACCCCACACAAACCCACTCTGAGAGGCTCCCCCCACCAGGACATGAGACCATGGCAGTTCTGTTCAAGGCCTCGCTCATGGTGGTCCCCAGGACATGCCAGGCCCGAGACCCCTGACAGCCCTGACAGAGAAGAGGTCATTGCATGACCGATGCCCCAGCACTAGGAACGGGTTCAGAAAGAGCAGCACTGAGCTCCCCCACAAGGGAGCCACACCAGCCAGGGGGACCTCACTGGAAGGTTATTTCAGCTCTCACACTCAGCCCTCGGTGGCACAGACAGCAGGTGCCAAGAGCTCCAGGTCCACCATGGAGTAGTCACTAAGAGTTTCTGCTCCATGAACCTGCTGTGCACAGATAAGCTGTGTAATCAGAACTGCCTGAGGCACTTGATATGTTTACTTTTCCATGTTTAGTGGCCATATATAAATTCTTTCTGCTTCATTGAAGGATTTCTTGTCCCAAATCAGCTAACTCTAGAGTGTCGTGGCTGAAGTCAGGAGAAAGGGAATCGTACAGATTTGGATGGATTTTTAAATTTGTTTGTTTGTTAGAGAGAAACTAAAGATAGCACTTAGACCTCAGCCCTCCAAGGACATGTGGTTTGCACAGGGTTTGCTGTAAATCACAGTTTATGTTATTTTTATTTCCTATGGGTTTTAGTTCAAAAACACAGCTTTGCATCTGGCATATCACGAAAAAGAAGATTTCACTTAAATCTCCTTGAGCAGAGCCTGATCACATATCCAAATAAAGCACCTCTTCCAAAACAGCTTCTGATCATGAGTTGAAGACATCAAACAAGAAAATGTCTGTCTTTTTGCACAGTTATTTTTTTTCCAGTGTTTAATCATTCTTGTTAAATTCTTCTGCCTTGTGATCTGTCCTCTACACCATAGGTCACCTCCCACAGCTGTCAGTAGGGAATATCCTTCAAGGGCCTTTATTTTGTAACATCCATTTCATAAGCACTGTGGCCAAATCAACAAAAGAACTGAAAAACAATCCCTTATTTCTTATAAAAAGAGATCTATGTTCAATTTACAATAGCAGCACATCAACTGAGCAAGCTGTCAGCTGCTGAAGAGGAGTCAGAAATGGTATTTGTAGTTTTGTTTTCAGCAAACTTTTTTTCAGGGGCAGGAGTATGTGTCCCAGTCGAGGTGCCTCTCAGTAAGCCAGGGGACAGCTCTAATCAAAAGCTCTATCTGAAGTGAGTGATAAATAAGAAACCAGGATGAGTCTGACACTCTGACACTGCTGCACACATTTTCCTCTCCTCAACGGGAACATTCAGCAACATTTGCTGCCATTTGGCAGAGTCTAAATGCTCTTCTCTTGCACACAGAAACAGAGGTTTAGTTCAGCCAGGCAGTTTGTTCTCTCTGGCCTTCAGGTCACCCAGTTTCACCCAACTGCCTGCATCAGTGTCTGGTACAAAGAAGGAAGGAAAGGAAATAGTTCAGCCAAAGCATGAGCTACAGCTCACAATGCACTGAAACAAGGGTATTTCAATCATTTTTAGTATTTTGGGCTTTCTCAATTTTCCCTGGGAAGCTCTACTGCTTATCAGGAGGATGAAAATGCAGACTGCTGATCCAGCATATAGAACATACAGCCATTCATCTCATATCCAAAAATTCTAGCTGGCAAGGAAAAGCAGCTAGTTCCCTTGGCTGCATCAGCCCTCGTGTCCTCAGAGGACTCAGATCCCATGTATCCCCTCTGGTTTGGAAAGCATCCCAGTGACTCTGTGTGGTAGCAGAAGCTCTCTCAGCATTGGGTCCCTGCCCTGAGAAACCTCTGTGATGAAGCCCATTTCCTGAAATTCTTATACAGTGTCTTGAACCGACATAAATTGTGGGTTTTTTATAAAGAACACTGGTGAACTGCTGGAACTGAGAATAATGGTGTCACAGCAGGGCACTCATTTCCTACAAAGAAAATCAATTTTAACAACTAAGTTCCATAAACATTGCTGTCACCATAAAACCAGCAAACCCGCTGCATGTTTCTTGAGAAAGCCACTTGTTTGTGGATCATATTATTTGTCTTCTTTATTCTGAGCGAATCCTGCAAGAGTCAGGACAAGCAGACAGAGGTATTTTGTATCTCACAGTGATGGGCCTTGCAGGAAAGTGAGAAGGGTTTAAAGAAATATCCAGGCTAGAGCTTGGGAAACAGCCAACAACCAGCCAGGGAGCAGCTCCAAATCTCTTCTGCAATTTACAGTGTAGTGTTTGTAGGGAGAGTTCATCCTGTCGATCCAAGCCTCACAGATGGAAATGGGGCCCCTTTTCTCCTCTTGCACTGTAATTGCAGTTGGCTCAGATGATTCTGGGGTAAAAACACTAAAACTTGGGAACCTCTCAGTGCGTGACAGATCAAAGAGCATGTGTTGATGGTCTTTCCTAATGACAGGATTACCACTTATTCCTGCAGTCAGATAATTACAGGCAGAGCCTGCCATCACATTCTGCAAATAACTACTCTCCCATGCTCATGGCATCGTATTTCACCTCGATTATGACAGGTTTGAGTTAATTGAAAAAGTATTCGAGGGAAGAGGGTGGAAGATCCCCGCATTACTGCTGGAAACCTGCTGGGTTTATGTGAAGTTATGAGCTCTAGAGCCAGGAGTTTGAGTAACTGCAGTGCAGTGGATATACCCTGGTGACAGACCCCGAGACTGGGAATTCCTCATCTACATCAGCTGCAACTCTGAGATTTTGAGAACAAGGACTGAACATTGGGAATGATGGTTTTTTTAAGGTGCTGCACAAAGCTGGCTGGAAACACAACCAATGTGAACATTTCTCAACACCAAAGCACAAGTCATATATAGATGCTGTGTAGGAGGAAAAAAAAATCTGTTCCTTCACTCCTCATCAAGGCAGCTGTTACTTCCAGCTAGCCAGCTGCACACACAAATCTAGACATAGCAACAGAGTAGACAACATTAAGAAACTAGAGGTTTTCTTTTTGAATATGTTACTGGTTTTGATACCTGCTACCTAAACTATAGGTTGACTTGTACAGTTGGGTAAAGTTACACCTGTTTCCCAGTGAACAAGTTATTGTTTGGGAAGGTGTTGGAAGTGTTCATCTAACCCCTGCCATAGTGTTGGAATATTGGATTCAGAGCCTAATACAGCAAATTTTGTACTTCTCCTGCCACTTAGTGGCTGCAGCTGATGCAGCATCACATCCTTACTCACACAATCGTGAGAAAATACTTCTGTGATGTGGAACAGATTTATACTTCTGTTCAGGTTTAGCAAAACCTGAGTAGGGACAAAGAGGCATTTTTTAAAAAGTTTAACTTAGTTTGAATACTTTGAAGTCTGTCAGGGCCCTCACAATTTGCAATCTGCAGGATGAAAGGATGTTAAAATATCATGGTTATTCCTAAAGGCCAGGTATTCTGTGAAGCAGTAGCTTTGATGTTACTGCTGGCACTGCAATATGCCTCCATCTCCACTGGGCCCATCTCTAGGATTCATAAGATTGCACCATTTCTCACTGCCAGGGAGTGCCTTTCTATTTTATAGAGAGCAGCAAGGCTGTCCTTGCTGTTACTGCTGCCTTGCTGTCTTCTGTACATGGCAGGATCTAGTGCTGTAAGTGTGGCTGTCTGCTCTATGCTGGGCTGCAGGGAGGGGACAGGACCACAGCCTTCTGTGCATCACTCACAGCCTTGTCAGCAACCCCTGGATTGACTGCATGGCACCAGGACATGGACAGGACTGCAGTGAAAGGCCCTGGATAACAAGGATTTGAAAGGTTTGGGCTTCATTTATTCCTGTCACTGGCAGGACCAAGGTTTGTCTTTCAGATCTTAGATTGTGTTCCAGGGCAAATACAGTCAGAAAAAGAAAAACTTGTAGTTCACTTCTGCTTTGATCACACTTAATCAGACAAGTGATACTGGGCAACTGTGCCAGATGCTCTGAGAGGGAATCTATGCAAACCACGCTGGCCTTCAAGAGGATTTAGACAGCTCTGGATCTTGGAGAATCATTTTCCCGAATTGCCTTTCAACAGTTCTTACTTTTCCCCAGAATGTGCTTTGAACAAAATTAATTGAACTGTCTTGCTAATGAACATGCAGCCCTGTTTTGAGAATGTAAATCAGCTGGCAAAACACCTGCCAAGTCAAGTGTCTTATCCTAACGTAATGGGTGACTAAATACACATTCCTATGCTGGAGATTTAAATAATCCTTTAGAGCACTGCTGAGAGTACCAGAGGCTTTGGCAGACAGAGGAAAACCTACGAAAGAGGATGAACAAGCTGCAGAGACTGGTAAAACATCTATTTTACTATTATTGCTGACAGATTTTTTTTTTAATTTGAATTTTTCTAAAGCTGTGTAAGTACTATCAGGTTCTCATAGAATTATTTTCCAACTCATCACAGTCCTTGGGATAAAACTGACAGACTAATGGCTCTCCTGGCAGCTGCACACCATTGCTATGGCTGAGAAAATAGTGCAGAAGCCGGGTGTTAAAGAAGGCTTGGGAAAGTCACTCTATCAGTACAGCTCAGCTCTGAGCACAGAACTGTTTGGTGGGTCCTGGAGGAAGAAACAAATCATTTTCCTTTAGCTCATGGCCACAAAAGAGCTCTGTGGTACAGAACCTGTAGGGGAAACGAGCAGGAGGAGTGGTAGAGTCCTAGGCATTGTGAGTTAAAAAGAGAAGTGTGCTATTATTGTAGGGAGAGGAAATCTCTCTCACCTGGAGAACTAGAATAACTAGGAAGAGCAGAGATATCAGGAGCACAATCCTTAGCTCAGGTCTCAGTAATAAGACAGGGAAGTGGTGCAGCCACGAAAAGTGCAAAGTGAAATGTAGCTGCTTCTAATGGGGACAGGAGAGAGCTCAGCCTCTTCTTGCTGCAGGGCTGGAACAGTCTGGCTTTATTTTTGTCCTGGGAGAACGTCCTGTCTCAGGCTGGTATGGAAGTTATTTACAAGAAAAGACTTTGAGAAAAGGAAAAATCTAAGATTATTTGAATTTGTGGTTTTAGAACTATTGCAAGACTAGACCAAACTTTCCTTTTCTTTGGTAAAGGGCTCTGTAAGAAGAAAATGAGCAGGTAGAGCAGAAAGAGCTCCCCAGCATTGGGTTATCCAAGTTCTTGGGGTCAATGGGGTCATATTCATGTAGCAAAACACAATCTGGCCTGAGGTGCCCTGCAGTGGCTGGCTAACAGCCAAACCTGAGCATGGGCTCTTCATGTTACACTAGAGCTTTCCCAGTGGGAGGGGTTTTGGAGCAGGGGGCTGGTAAAGGCCCTCCTGGCCCTGGGTCACTCAGAACTGGAGGTGTCAGACTAAAGGCCAGGGGCCCCCAGCATGCTCAGAGTGGTCTTGAGACATGGGACAGTGTTCCTAGCCCAAGGACACCCTCAGGGCACAGCTTGCCTGTCACAGGATTTCACCTACAGATGGGGAAACTAAAGGCACAGGCACAAAACAGCATTCTATTTTAATCTAAAATACGTGCTATTATCATGAAAAGGTAGAAGAAATAGCATGCCAGTGTATCACAAATGCACTGGATATACAAGGCCATGAGAAAAATCTCCCAGCTCAAAGTGTGAATTTTGTGGGGTCATTTTATTCTGTGCAAGGAAGCCATCCATTTTCTGTCCCTCTTCTTCAGCTTCAGAACAAGATCCTGATCCTGACAATATGTGCTGCTGGGATTGGAGGCACTTTCCAATACGGTTACAACATCTCCATCATCAATGCTCCAGCTTCAGTAAGTACTGCTAGTCCCAAAGTCCACCTGCCCGAGGGCCTCCTCCCAGGACAGACCCTTCCTTAGTGGCTCTGTTGGACAGTGATGTGCCATTGCTGGTGCTGAGGGACAGAAGGGAAAGATGTGTTGTTCCCTCTGTATAATTCACATCTGGGGTACAGGACTTTGCTGTCAAGAGCCAACTTTGAGCAGGATGTAGTGTCACAAGAATTTATTCAAAATCTTTGTCTCAACTCCTTTAGCAAATGTAATTCTAAAATTTTCTAACCTGCACCCTTTGAAACTGACTTTTGCCCCTATATTCAAAGTTAGACCCATTAAATTAATTTTTAAATTATACAAGGTAGCTACATACAGATAGGAACCAACTGCAACTTTTCAACGGCAACAATTTTACACTCTAAACTCTCTGTTAAAAACTCGTCTGGAAGGGATTGGAAGCATAAACACAGAATAAATAGATATATTAATAAGGAAGACTTCATATTTCTCAGTGTCCTTCACCTCTCTGTGGTGGTTATGCTGCCCTGTCCCTCTCCCTCAGTACATCCAGACGTTCATGAACACGACCTGGCTGGAGCGCACGGGCGCTCCCCTGGAGAGCAACGTGATCCTGCTGCTCTGGTCCTTCACTGTCTCTGCTTATCCCCTGGGAGGCCTCACTGGGGCTGTGGTTGCTGGTCCCATGGCCATCATGTTGGGAAGGTAAGAGGGTGCTGGAGTTTAATTTGAGCTTTGCAGCTTCCATTACTCTGAGAGGAATTAGGAGCCCTGCAGCACAATGCTCACTGCAGTTAAAAATAATGAAAATATGTTTGCTATCACGGACCAGTCTGCCTTAAACATTCTGAGTTGGCAGGGAGCATATTCTGATATGACAGTATTTCATATCTCAAAACCCAATGGGGAACATTTTTGTCCCCCAAATCACCTTCTCATCATATTCCAGCCCAGCTGAGGTGCTACAAGGATTTCGGCTCACCTCCATATCACAGTAGCCACCTACATCATCACTATCATTTTTGTGCCAGTTTTCTGCCATCCTTTCAAATAAAAAATCATAATGGGTCAGACCAGGTATTTTTCTTCAAAATAAACTGTGGAGATTGGTAGGAATGACACTGGAAAAACAGAGGGTGGTTGTGCATCCCAGGTCCTCCTGTCTCACAGGTCACTTTTTGTCTGATGTATTTTAGGAAGTATTCATTAAATTCCCAGAGTTGGAGGGTTTTTTCTCTGCTCTGGAGTCTCTAAAAAGTATTTGTCTTACCTCATCCATCTTTCATACACAGCTCTATCTCCAGTTCTCTTCAGAAAAAAAAAAACAGTATTGCTAACATAAACTAATAGGTAGTCAGATTTTCCTTCCTTCTCTCTCAATCCCAAAATTTTCCTCCATGTTCTATGACTTTGCTTTGTTCCTCTGGTATGATGAAGCAGGCACCACTGTGAAGGACTATCTCCCATGGCTTACTTATTTCATGGTTATGAATATCTGGAAAAGATACAGCTTTTTTATCCAATTACAGTTTTAGAGACTTCACCCTGTACTGCTTTGGAATAAAATCATATCCCATCATAAATAAGATTTAAAAAGACTGACTGGCAAGGCAGTGAGCTGGGACTAGAGAGAATTATTGGCTGTTATGGGTCAGTAGAGCTCTCTCTCTTTTTTTTTTTTTCCCTAGTTTTCAACAGAAATTTCTCCTGGGACACATGAAGACTTTCTGTGAAAGCTTCACAACACTCATACTATTACATGAAAAATGCCTGTTTCAACAAGTTAGCATTTTCAGACCGCAATGCACACAGCTTACTGAAGGAATACTCCTCTCCATTCGAATGGAAACTGCGTGTGAGCAGGAGAGCCCTGAATTTGGGCACCCTCACGGTGCCCTCAGCGTGCCCAAAGGCAGCGCTGCAGGGACACCTTGTGGCACACAGACACCCCATGTAGGGCTTCGGGTACTCAGGTGTTCTGTGGTGGGGCTGAGCCCACCTTGAGCTTCCAGGCGGGACAGATGGGATCTGCAACGTGAGATGTTTTATTTGATAACTAAACCTGACACACCAGTGCTCACAACTGTCTTTTTTTCTCGGAAGGAAGATGTCCCTGCTGCTGAACAATGTCTTTGTGATCATAGCTGCAGCCTTGTCAGGATTCAGCCGAATGGCAAAATCCTTTGAAATGATTATGCTCGGCAGATTTTTCACTGGCATGAATGCAGGTATGGCAACACGAGAACCATAGCAGGACAAAGGGGATAACAGGTAACAATTAGAAATAGAAGATATTCAAATAGGGATGATGTGAGATATGAAACCAATTAATCCTCCAGGCTGACCAGACACATGTAAGTGAATTAAGAAGTTGTATATACAGATTTTATATTTTGCTTCTGAGGCCTTTTTTTGAAAAAACATGCATAGGCAGAGGTTTTGTGTATTACGTGTATCTGTGTGCACAGGGAGAATCTGAACTTAAAATTGATCCCTGTCTGCTTGTAAGAATATCAGTCCCTCCCCAGCATGAGCGCCAACATTAAAGCTCTTGTAGAAGTTTATCCAAGAAAATAATGATTAAGTGTCTTAAAGTATGATCAACATGGGAAGTAGAGGGAAGCCTTGCTTACCACCTCGAATTTGGTGCTGAAAAGACCATAGACGGAGGCCCTGCCAGGTTTCGGTTTCATTATCCACTGGTACTGATGAGTCCGGAAATGGGTGTTTAGCAGCCTATGCGAAGAATAGCCCTGCAATTGGGGAAATAATGAGAACTGGCAGATGGGTCATTACATAGACCACGGCAGAAAAGTTCAGCTGGCAACCTCCAGAGGTGGCTGACGGCATTTATCCTTGTCTCCTCCGCCCACGAGCTGAGGTCACTGTTTGTCTGCCTTGCCCAGGTGTGAGCATGAATATTCAGCCCATGTATTTGGCGGAAAGTGCCCCAAAGAAGCTCAGAGGAGCTGTGGCCTTGACCTCTGCATCGTTTACAGCCCTGGGGTTGGTGCTGGGACAGGTGGTTGGACTCAGGTAATGTAAAGCAAAAAGCTCACTTATTAAATCTTTCCTTTTTGTTTTTTTTCTCTTTACTACCCCTTTCTTTCCATTCATTTTCAGTGCCCTCGTGCAGCAGAGGGTGCTGGGCTTTTGCCAAGTTGTTAAATGTACTGTGTAAATTTAGTTTGTTTGGTTTATTTTTTCCTCTAGGGAGCTCCTAGGCAGGGAGGAGAGCTGGCCATTCCTTTTAGCAAGCAATGTGGTACCTGCCCTGATCCAGCTCACAGCTCTGCCTTGGTTCCCTGAAAGCCCCAGATACCTCTTGATTGACCGTGGAGACAAAGAATCCTGCATCTCTGGTGAGTTCAGGATGGCTTGGCTCCTCACTGAGCATTTGAAATCTACCCACTGGGCAGATTGCATATCCTGAACATACATAATTATTTATGTTGTAAATATCACTTCCTCCTTCCAAACTAAAGAGCATCCTATAATCTTAAATATATTTGACCTATTGAAGTAATTGAAAGACATCTGACATCTTCCTACAAAAGACTTTTTTCCTACAATAGGAGGGTCAAAAGGTGAGAGTTGTGTTCGCAGTGGCAAATATGTTTTGTAACTGTGAAGAGAAATAAATGCTAGTTGAAGAGCTCGGGATCAAATCTGAAGCCAATTCATATTAAAGGATTTGCTTAGATTTGTGGCATACAAATCCTCATATGAGAAGTGGCTGGACTTACTTTCTGGGAAATATGTGCTGTGTACCAAGAACATCTTAATTGCCTGCAATTCCCAGGGAAGTCACTTGAGATCTGAGTCAGAAGCACAGCTGCTGAAATGGCACTGGTGGGTTATCAAACAACGTGGAGGGATTTATACTCCCTTTCCCCCAAATCCTTCAAGTGGCTGCACCACAACTGGCCATCTCTGTGAAGGTAACAGCGTGATCACAGACTCTGCAGAATGACAAACCAAATGTAAGGCTCGGGAGTAAGAGGTTCCCTTGTCCTTGCAGCACTGCAGAAGCTCAGAGGCACCAGTGACCTGAGTGCAGAGCTGGAAGAGATGCTGGCTGAACAGGCTGCTGTTAAAGGTCAGAGAGCAAAGAACCCCTGGGAGCTCTTCCAAAATCCATCTCTGAGGTGGCAGCTGGTGAGCATCGTTGTGCTGAGCAGCGCCATGCAGCTCTGTGGGAACGACTCGGTAAGAGCCTGAAACAGGAGCCACAGCAGCACTTTGTCATGAGATGTGGGTGAGAGCTCTTGGGTTTAACATCCTCTCTGCTGGAAAAGAACAACCAGTGGTCTTCCTGCCTGTGGAGACCTCAGATGTTTGTTCCCAAAGTACACCTGTGCATTATGGAAAGATTCAGAGAGGTGCTGTCAAAATCGCCTGTGTGACAGCACGTCAGTCACTCTCTGTGTGGTCCTTCAGGAAGAACAATGGGATGTATTTTCAGGTGTCTTCTCTTACTGCTTTCTCCTCTCTTCTCTCCACAGATGTATTCTTATGCAGCTTATGTGTTCCAAGAGGCTGGAATTCCTCAGGACAAAATCCCATATGTTGTAATCGGTACAGGAAGCTGTGAACTGATCACGTCTGTCACCTGTGTGAGACTCTTAATGCACTCTGCTGACACGCAACCTCTGTTGACAGTGTGGAGGCTCTTAATAGCTAATTTTGGATTTACATGTCTTTTCATGCCAAGAAAGCCCTCTAAGCACAGCAGCCAGGCCATTTGTCAGCACCCACAGCCAGACAGGTTAACGCAAAGTTATTTGGTCTGACATTGCATCGTCATCACTGTCTAAAATCTCTAAAAAGTGTAACTTTCATGCTTTGTGCCCATATGGATAGTGGCAGAGTTTAGGCTGCAGCTGGGACATTCTCTTCTCTCCTCAACACCCTTCTTGCCTGATTCCTGCCACCAGACCTTTCCTTTGAAATTTCCTTTTTCTTTGCTAAGAAGCAGACAACATCCTTAAAGTAGCTGTAGAGTGAACTAGGCACGGAGTATTGAAACGGGAAGAGGGAGCAGGCAGGAACTATAAACATAGATCAAATATCTTGCTTTATTTCACTGTGTTACTTTGTGCAGAACATGATTATAGACTATGCTGGTCGGAGGCCGCTGCTGCTGGGGGGCTACATCTTCATGGCAGGATGGGCCATTGTCTTCATGGTCGCTCTGAGCCAGCAGGTAGCAAACTTTACTTAATTTTTTAAGTGGAATGGAGTTGGGCTTTGCTTTTTATATGACTGGGGTGTTCAGTGGTGGCAAATAAGTGTAAGTGCCCTCACTGGTTTTCCGTTGGTCTCTGTGGCTATAGACTCAGATTAGCTGGATGCCTTATCTCAGCATGGCCTGCATTTTCGCCTATATCCTGAGCTTTGGAATCGGACCAGGTCAGTTCCCTCAGTGTTTTCAGTGAAACTTTTGGGTACTGCAGGGGCTTGGAGATGTGTGCAAGCAGCTTATGGAAACTCTCAGACCCTCTTTAGCCACAGCACGCTCAAAGGAACAAGGCAGTTTCTGCCAGCAGTGTTCAGCTGTTTCTCAGGGGCTTGCATTGCATGCCCCTGGAAGTCAGTGTTGGGCAGGGTCATTCTGTGCTCTCCTCTGTGCTGTTCCTCCTCACAGCCATCTTGGCTGTAAGGCCAAGGCAGCTAGGGGTGATTCTTGTGTTAAACAGATGGCAAGGTTTTGATTTGCTGCTCAGTCCGTTAGGGCTGCAAACCAGCATTTCTGATGCTTCACTTTAACCCAAGAGATTGGTGGTTACATAATTTGATTATTTACTTGCAGATACCTGGAAGGAAGATTTCCACATCTATTTGTTATCCTACTAACATACATTTCCATTAGTTTCTGTGGTTGTGGGGGCAACACACAGACTGTCTGTGTGTGGATGTTTGGTTGGTGTGGGAGTAGATGTGAAGCTCTGTTTGCTTACACAAGTTTGAAGGAAGGCAGGTAAGAGTAGAACCAAGCTGCCAGTGTCATAAACCACACAAGTTGGCAACAATTTCTTGTCCTACAGTGCCATGGGGCTGAATTAATTATAAGCCTTTCTCACGGTTTGGTCCTGGTAAGAATAATGTGGATTACAAAACTTTTCCTGGCAGTTCATTCTAACATGAGAAAGTTTGAATAATTAGCCAGGCCTTAATATTTAACCTAAAAATTCCCCTCTGCAGTTAATCTCTATTACCACTTCTTCTGGCATTGCTGACTAGTGAGAATAATTTGCTGAATAATAATTTACTGTTCTCTTATACTTCAGGGTATGTTTTCTTGTTAAGATGTGTTCTCTTGTTTTTAATGTCATGTCAACAATATTATTAACTTTCTTGCCATTTCTTTTCCCAGCTGGTGTAACAGGAGTTCTGCCCACAGAGGTTTTTGATCAGATGTCCCGGCCAGCTGCTTACATGATCTGTGGCTCCCTGCTCTGGTTCAACCTATTTCTGGTTGGAACAGCCTTTCCATTCATCGTGGTGCGTTCCAAAGGCAAAGCAATCACCTGCAGCTCTTCAGTGCTCTGTACAAGAAAGAAGCTCTGGTAGTGACCAGGAAAAGGGAATATTGCAAGCAGCAGGATAGCACTGCTATGAAAGTATCTTTATGAGAAAAGTGGCCAGAACTCCTCTAAACCAAACTTTCTCCATGTTCCCTATGGTGAATTCTGATTTGAGGTTGGGAGAAGACTAATTTGGGGCATGGATGACTAATATTCCTCTCTGTCCTCAGCTGCGAACAGCTGGGACTAAAGATGTGATGCAATTTCCTTTGGCCAGACCCTGGCACCATTTCCTAAGGTGATTTCTGAGGCGAAAGGGAGCAGAATGTACACTCCTGTCTTATTTCCTACTGGAGGTTCCTATTCTATATAATTATATAGAGATAAAAAGAGAGAAAAAGACATTTTGAAATACTATTCTTGCTATCTCAAATCTCCCAACCTCTGCTGGGGAGCTATTGCCTCCAGGCATGTGAGACCCTCACCAGGGTGCAGAGAAATATCCCCTTGGCTGACCTTAGTCCATGCAGGAACAGGGATTAGTGGCCTATTTGTCACCACACAGAATGTCACCAACACTGTCTTGTTTTTTTCCTCCTCCTCAGAAAAGTCTAGCACATTTCTGCTACATCCCATTCCTTGTGGTCTGTGTCTGCACTGCACTCTACGTTGGATTTTTCCTTCCTGAGACAAAGGGAAAGTCCTTCCTGGAAATCTCGGAGGAGTTCAAGAAACGGAACTTCAAAACTAAAGCCCATGCGGGTTTCTATAAAGGCCCTGAAGAGATCAAAACCACCACACTGTAGCAGAAGAAAGGAAGATGGTACCTGGGGGAGTGGCACAGTGAATTCAGCAGTGGCTGTGTTCCTTTGCAGGGACACCAAGAGAAAAGTAGGGTTAGGGACAATACATTACTCTTAGGTCCTTAAGTTCACCTTGAAAACACATGGTTGAACTGATAAATACAAACAGAAGTTTGATAATCTGTTCTCAGTTTTTAGTACTGAGTAACACATGCATATTTTAGAATCCAGTGACAGAATGATGCCTTGTTCTCTTATCATCAAACAACACCACGTAATGCTTGAGCAAATTTCCTCAGAATTTCTCCTCTACCCAAAGAGTAACTTCCATCTCAGAAGCCTTTCTTTCCTTGCCCCTGAATCTGGGCTCTCTAACACAGAAATTAATGCGATTAAATTCTGTTTTCAGACACCAGATGAAATTTTCAGTACCTTGTCTTGGTGCTCCCGTTGTTTCTGTTATTAAGTGATTTCAAATAGACCCCTACTTGTTGAGCAATAGTGAGCAGTTAATTATTTTCAGCTATAAAAGCATGTGACAGATGGATTAAGAAGAAAGCTTCTAGTACTTGCTAAGTGGCTTATTATACAACAGACTTTTGGGCATTGTTTTGCAGAATATTTATTCTGGACTGGTTTTCTTCATGGCTTATTTGTTGTCTTCCAGTCCTATATTGTAAAGCACAAGTTCCCCAGTCCAGTTTGTACTGCTCTCACAGACACTGCTGGTGCACCTTGTAGGGTTTTGCACCTGTGCTCTGCTAATGGTAAGTGTGGTGAGGAGCTCGTGTGCAGCAGCTTATTTTGGGTGTGGAGATTTAGATCACACCTGGACACTCTCTGCAGCATGTTCTTGTTGTCTCCACAGAGCACACTGGAGAAGACCCAGGTGTGATAGTGATTGCTTTTAGTTAACCTGGTACAGAAGAGGGCAACACTCCTCATTTAATATGGCCTTTCACTTTGTTCATATGACAGTCACAGCACTGCTGATGGTTGCAGCAAAGAACACATACATTTTGAAAAGAAGTTGCTAAAGTTTCTCTCAGTGTATTTTTTAACCGCATTTTTTGGGAAATACAGAACTTCTGAGTGACAAGACTGTAAACATTTCCAGAGTGTATTACTGTCATTACTGGGCACGTGTGGAGCAGCAGATCTATTTCTCAGAAGTGGAGTCTGTGCAAGAACTCTCTTTCAATACCTAAAGTTTATAACATACAAAAAATAAAGATTAAACTTTTGTTCCTTTGTGGTTGCTGCTGTTTTAGAAGTCATCAATATACAGACATGGGCAAGAGCAGGTATCTCTGCTCTTGGAAAACACTGAGGTTTTGAAGTATGCAGGATTTTGAGAGAAGACAATCAAGAGCAGGACTTCCTGGAGCTGGGAACTGAAGAGATACTTTTCATTTCTATAGTTTGAACAGAGCAGTGAGGGGCAGATGGAAAGAGTAAAAAACACAGTCAAAGCAAAAAGTGACAGTACTGTTCTGGTGGTGGCAAAATACTCTGTCATTCCTTCGGTGAGGACCAGAGTAAGGAGAGAAGACAGAAGTGAAGCAGAGAAGACAAGGCAATAGTGAGGATGCAGGATAGGAAGCAGGGATGGACTGAAGAGACTCCCTGGGCAGAGAGAGAGGCCTGGCACACACTGCTGGGACATACAGGTCAGAGAAGAGAGAAGCCCTCCAGTGTCCAGAGGTCCTCACCTTGCCCACCTCTGTGGCTACTCCCCTGAGTCAGCACTGTACTTTTCCCCAGAGCCCTGGCAGGCCAGAGACCATCTGCACCTGTCAGTATGAAACATGCCTGTGCAGAAATCACACACAGTTAATTGACTTCCTGAGTTTCAGAGCCAGTCCTGTGAGTACATGTGGCAGAAAACACTAATTCAAACTTTCTGAAATCAGAAGTCTTTAGACTGATTAAGCAAATGCAAACAGTGGTTACATTTCAATTGGTCTAATTTGTTAAATTTTAATTGAAGCATTTAACAAGTTGGTTAATTGATACTGAATTCAAACACCTTTGACTGAAAAGATATATGACACTTGTTCAGATTTCCTTATCATGTGAAATGTTAAACAAAAACACGTTGAAAAGTGATCCTCAGAGACTCATTATGGTTCATATTACTATTTGCAAATCAAGTAATCATGCACTGTTGGATTTATTAATAACTATCAACACCAGAGAAAAATAGTTACTGCTCCTGTCCTCAAACACTGCTCTTCTCCAAAAGCTACCTCTCACTTCAAACCCAGTTGGGGCTGGGATTCTTCCAGGCACTAAAGACATGCAGCATCCTGGTCTGTGGAATTGCCAACTGCAGCCTCTCACCAGAAGATGGAATTCCCCCCTAAGCTCTTTGAATGACTTGTAAAAGCCTTTTAACAGAACCAGCTCGGAGACTGCTAGATAAAGAGGCCTTTTGAGAATTATGGATAAAAGTAAAGATGTAGTTTATTTATTTTGAAGTCAGGATTTAAAATTGAGATTCGACTTTCTTAGCATCTGACATATATTATAGGGACACAGACTTGAACTTTCAGGCAATGACCTTTACTCTTAAAGAGTCAACTGATCCCACAATTCAAGAGTTGGATGCACAGGCTGAGTCAGGTTTGGCTGAGTCAGGTTTGGCCAAGTCAGGCTTCAGAAGGCTTTGCTGTATTGAGGCTCAAGGTAGCAGTCAGGAACTTTTCCTTTAAATGTGATAACTGATTACCCAGCCTATGACTTGGGGAGTCCAGACCGGTCCAGTCCAGTTTGTGCCAGTCCCTGGACTTTGGCTTCCATCAGTGCTTTTTTTGATGCCCACTCAAGCAATGGCATTCACCTGAGCAGAAATCAGCTTGTAAATATTTGGCAGGAATTGTTTGAATGTGATCTGTTCTAGAGACAGAGGTGCAGCATCACACCATCATCACTGGCCAGAATATCCCTAGGACAGTCAGGAACAGGAGGAGTGGGAGAGGCTGAGGAGTGCATTTATTGCAGTCCTATATTCTTAAGCCTCCTGTCAGATAGTTCTAAGAAAGGGTGAATAAACCATGAAACCAGGAATGCCCTTCAATCCCCAAATGTTTATCCAGTCTCAGCCAAGTCACAGAGCAAAATATTCACTTAGGTGAGATAACAAGTGGGAAAGGAGGAGAGGAAAGGACAAATAGATGGAATTGTTGACGGCACACTTGCACATTGCACCATGCTCCCACAACCATGACAGTGCAGATTGAGATGGCCAAAGCTGAAGACAGAAGCACTGAAGTGTGTAACTGGGTTCTAGGAAACAGCTGTGAGCTTTGTCTCTCCTCAGATTCCTCACTGTCCTGTGCTTTAGTAGCTGTGGTTTCCTAGTGCCAGCTCCTTGGTCTCAGAGGAGGCAGGTGCGTGGCATTGCTCAAACTGCTAGAGCTCCTGAGGAAAACAGAGGACACTGGGGGCATGTCTGAATAGCTGTACCAGCTTTGTTTGCTGCTTTTATTTCCTGCCAGAAAATGAGCTACAACCTCTTTCTGCTGCCTTTTGTCCTGGGCATTGGTGGAGGTTTCCAGTATGGGTTGCAGGTCTCCATTATTAATTCTCCTGCTGAGGTAAGCATGGAGAGCTCCAAGAGTGAGCTACTAGCATGGATTTTACTGTTCTCACTGCCTCTATATGTAATCACTAACTTTTTAAATTCTGCTCTCAAACCTAGACCTCTGTTTTTTTAGTTCTAAGAGTAGCTACTATTGCTCTTGTGTTTCATGGGGTTTTAACTTCTATCTAATGTGGCAGACCTGGGAAAGGGGAGGATGAATGATATCCATAAAGTCAGCCATTTTCCCCTTGCTGAGTTGAATTACTCATAGGGCACTCTTCTCTTTTCAGTGCTCAAGGGGCCTCTTGTACATGTGCTTGGCCACACACTGTGTCTAAGTGACTGTAAGGTGCAATAGGACAGGGCAGGACTGTAGCTCTAGAGCTGAGTTCAGCACTGATACCTGCAGCTGGAAAAGGAAAATTAGGGAAGATGTTTGTGATCCTAGATGGTACCAAGGACATTGAGCTCATACTGTTACCACATTGTGAACCCTCACCAAGAACGAGGGTGCCATGGAGGTTGTGAACAGCAGGCCAGAGAGACCTCACAACAGACCATGTCAAGGGACAAAACCTGCTCTCACTTGAGTCAGTTGAAGTCAAACCTGGATTTCACTCAGGGCATCAGATGCAGCAGGTGGACAAGAGAGACAGACATACAGGCAGGAATGGTGGGAAAGATCAGGTAGCAAAACCATCAGGTTTTAGTACAGAAACAGAAGACCAACCTACCATGCAAAATTGCCATTGATTTCATCAGGGCTAAGATTTCAACCAAGGTATCCATAGAAATGTATCAAAAAGGCCAGTTGGGGAATTAAAAAAGAGGCGCAATTATGCAAAAAGCATGTTGACTGGGTCCATGGGTTTCTGCTTTTGTTTTCAAGTACATCAAGAGTTTCATCCGTGAGACCTGGCTGAAGAGATATGGCTCCTCTCCCAGTGAAGACATGATCACTCTGATGTGGTCCTTCATTGTGTCCATTTACAGCATCGGGGGGCTCCTGGGCTCCTCCTCTACCGGATACTTGGCTGTTAGATTTGGAAGGTAGGAAGAGTGATTACATTAGTCCTTCTATTTACACCCACAACTGCAAAAATAAGTGACCATGTCTTGGGAGAAACATTGCTTGTAAAGTAGCACTGTGAGCAGCCCAGGGCTGCTTCCAATGAAGGATCAGTACAAAATCACACTCTCTCCCTTAGAAAGTCCAAAGTGAATCCAGGCTGGGGAAATCACACAAGGAGTGCATGCATTTTAAAGTGAATTTCACAGACAATCACTCACAAAGCTTGTTCTTCAGTGTAGATGTTGGCTCCACTAAAGGGGTCAAAAGCTTGAACTAACTTATCAGTCTGTGACAGTTTTCCCATTCCCTTTTCCCATTTACTTCACTGCAGCCGATCTCAGAAGCTGGCACAGAGTCTGTAACCATGGTACAATTCGTGTCACTTCTGTCAGGTGTGAATGACACATGGACAATATTTATGCTCACATTAATTTAAGTGAATTCCAGGAAAAAGTCCATGCTCCTTGCCAACATCCCTGCTCTGCTGAGCGCAGCTCTGATGGCACTCAGCCGGCTGTGCGGGTCTTTTGAGATGATCATCGCTGGAAGGTTTTCTGCTGGACTGTGTGCAGGTAAATTAAAATTCCTACTTAGGGCATTAAATAGTTGGAAGAACAGTGACTCAGATTCACAACGATTTATCAGTACACAGACCACAGATTTTTACTAAACCCTGCAGAGGACATGATTATGATATGATATGATATGATAATCATGATTAATGATTATTTTTAATTAAATAAGAAACCACAAACATAATTAAATTAGTAATGTCTAACATCTCCATTTCTCTTTCTTCTGTCTTTACATCCAATCCCTATAAAAGGTACTGCCTTTTGAAAAAGCCAAAACATGCAATATTTTAGGGGAACCTGCTCACTCAATAAAGAGCTGACCTCTGTTGTTCCTGTTGTTTTTCACTGTGGCTGATGCTGCCCTCCATATTACAGACAAGGGAATGGTTTTCAAACTGGGCAATTCTAATTTCCAAATGGTTACATTCTCCCAGTGTTTTCAACCCCTGAGAAGCTGGATAAAGATAATACTAACCAGCAAAAAAAAAAATTGAGAGAGGATAAATATTAATTAATTCATTCACTGAAATGCAAATGGAATGTATAGAATTTGTTAACTTCTTGGTTTCAAGCAGAAAATAAGGCACATATCATCCTGAATAAACACTGAAACACATCACCTGAGACTAAAGGGAGTAACTACAGTCCTGTATATGTGGCTGTAGGAAATGATATAAGAGAAGGCCAGCCTGCTGAAGGACAGAGTTCTCAGGGGCAGGTACTTGCCTAGTGAAATATTTAGCAAAGACACAAGGCCATGGTACAGGGCACATGCTTCAGGTCGGGCAGACACATACTCAGCATGGTTAAAAAGGTGTCTCAAAGCCAATCCCTATAGGCTTTGTCCATAATGGTCCCCTCTGAAACACCACACCCATGTGGGTTTGCATTGCCCTAACAGTCCTTTGTCACTGCAGGTTTATCTCTGAATATCCACCTCATGTATTCTGGGGAATGTGCCCCACGGAAGCTCCGTGGGCTGATTGCCATAACAGCTTCTACTGCCGTTGCCTTTGGAAAATTCGTAGGATTTGCTCTGGGTCTCAGGTAAGAGGGTCTGAAATAGACTCAATTTATTCTATTATTAAAATATATGCATATGTCAATGCAAGCCCATGGATAGGCAAATCAGCAACTGTTTTCAGACATGTTTGCAGGGTAGTCAGACTGAATTAGCCCAAATTCCTGACTTTAGTGAATGGGAAACAGAAATCATACAAAATATTTAATTCTGAAGAATAAAGTTCCTTTCTAGCAGACACAGATCAAAATACAAGTAATAAAAACCTTGAACATATTTCAGTGGGTTTGAAAGAAATCAATCTTTTTATGAACAGACCTTTACTTTCTATTTTTTTCAGAAGGAACGGGGAATATCAGACCCATCCAAACCTTCTTGAAAATGCACACAAACTGGCATACCCACTCATCAAACACACACACACACAGAGAGAGAGACAGACACTTATGGTGGATTTATCCCCCCAGCACAGGCTCTTCCTGCCTGTCCTGTGCCAAAGGCAGTCTGCCCCATTTCTAGGGCATGCATCATTCTGGCCACAGTGTTCTCAAAGCTGCAGGAAACCCAGCAGCTGTTATTTGGGGCTGTCAGTACCAGGCTGACAACCCATAGGTCTTTCCCTAATTGTAACATGGGCCTCTTTGGATCAGAAGCTGAGGGATCAGCCCCTGCAAGTTCTTCCTTCAGCGTTTGTGCTGGGACACTGTTGGTCCCTGCGGGCCCTCAGCCGCTGCAGGAGGATGCAGGTGGCCTTGCTGCACTCGCTTCTGAGCAACAGGAACCAACACTGGGTAACTCGTGGGCTACAAGCAACGGCCCTCTGCTCTGTCCTTCCCCCTCCTGTTGAGATTTTAATTTTTCTGGGCTGAGAAATGCTGGAGACCCTTGGGAGGAGCTGCTGTGACACGCAGCAGGGCTGAAGGATAACCCTGTGTCTGTGTGTGCTCACATGGCCAGCACACGATTCCTCAGCCTCTCTCACTCTCTTGGTTTTGTTTCAGAGAAGTTCTTGGAGCAGAGGCTCTCTGGCCTGTTCTCTTGGCAGCCAATGCAGTTCCTGCCCTCATTCAGCTTCTCACCCTCCCCTTCTTCCCAGACTCTCCCCGCTACCTCCTCATTGACAAAAAGGACAAGGAGGCATGCATTAAAGGTATGGAAATAGGTCACAAAGCATTCATTTTAGAAAAAAGTGGAAAACACAGTAAAGCCCCATATGAGCCTGAAAGAGAGGTACAGGTGGGAAAAAGACTCTTGGTCTTTTGGCTCTGAAACAACCTTCAGCTTTAATGAAGATCAGCCTCTTCTGTTTGAATGTTAGTGCTCTTTTGGCACCAGTATTTCCCTTACTCTCTGCCAGAGTCCTCTGAGGGATGTGATCATACAGAGCTTGTATTTCCAACAATACAGATTCTGCCCTGAACAGTCAGGGTGTGGACATGGTACCTTCTGACTCTGTGTAAGAAAGGGAGGCTCTGTATTGTCATACCATATCCATAAGCATTCCAGTTTTTCAGTAACCTAACAGCAAATCCTGACAGAAACAGAGAAACAACCATTCTGGGGGTTTAACTATCAAAAGAGAAAACTCCTTGGATGTAGACATACTGTTTTATATGTGGGAATCATTTTACCTTGTCTGTGTTTTGGAGTGTGTACTAGAGCAGCACCTCTAGTAGGAGTTTCTTTGGGGAAGGATCGGTAAGAATTTAAGTGTGGGTTACATTGAAAGGCTATAGGCAGCTATTGGCCAAGGGTGAGGTCATGATTAAGATGTGTGGGTAAAAATAGATAGCAGTGATCTGAATCTGTGTCTAATCTGAGCCCAGATCTCTAGGAAGTTCATACAAGAAAAGAGCCTGAAGTTCAGATAAGACACTCTGCAAAACAGGAAATAATCCTCAGAATTCATGTCTGTGCTGGTGGGCTTGGACCAGAAGTCACCTCTCCTCTTCTCCTTCCAGCTGTGGAGCAGCTCTGGGGGGATGGAGACCACATGGCCGAAATAAATGACATGATTTCAGAGGAAGAAGCCATCCGTGGGGAGAAGGCCAAGGGTCTTTGTGACCTGCTCCGTGACAGAGCTGTGCGTTGGCAGCTCATCACTCTCTTCCTCGTGGCCTCGTGCTCACATTTCAACGGGGGCATTGTGGTATGTGCTCTGCTCTGCTCTCTGCACTGCTCACAGGCTCTTGCAAAAGTGAGCTCTGCAACGAGCTGTGAAATGCTGACTGAAACAGTGGCTGTAAGGAGGGGTCTGTTGTTACTGTTCATTACAATCCTTTCCCATGGAAGTTTGGTACCTGAGATAAGTTGATAACTGCAAGTGTCATCTGAAGGCATCTCTATGGATTACCCTGTTATGATAAGAGAGAATGCAAGGGGATCAAGACTTATTTCTTGTCAAAAAACCCTGACATTAGTGTAAACATGAGCAAAAATTTCTATTCTTTCCAGGTTTACTTTTATGCATACAATATCTTCATAAAAGCTGGAATCCCCCCTGATCAAATCCATTATGTCTCACTGGGGCTTGGGACCACCGAGATCCTCTCCACAGCTCTGTGTGTAAGTGGCTTTTCAGCTGAATTTTGTTCTGCTGCAATGCGTGGTTCATTTGAATCTTTAGAAATGCTGTAAGCGGAGCTTCAGGAATAAAATTTTTGCAACAAATCAACCACAGAACCAATCATACAAAATCATCTCCACACATCCGGCAAATATGGGCATTTATATTCAATTTCTGGGAAGAGAGGAGAGTCTTTCTCTCAAAATCATGATCCAGGGATGGCAGCTACTGGAGCAGCTCAGCAGTGCCTGCCTTTGGTCTGTCCTTTGGAGCTGGCAGTGTGTCCTTCTGGTTGCAGGGTATCCTCATTGAGCGTGCAGGGAGGAAGACACTGCTGTGGAAAAACTACACAGTGATGACCCTTGCTTTAGGGCTCCTCACAGTCACACTCTTCCTACAGGTGAGACCCCACTGATGCATTAAAACTATGTCCTGTCTTCATGTGTTATTGTGCAGCAGATATCATACTATTTCCGTTCCCCCAAATAATTTTTTAGCCCGAGTAGAAGTGTTTTTGGGGCTAACCATCATATTAACAGAGGTCTGTTCCCAGCCCTGTACATACAGGTTAAAGACAATAGACTTATACAACCAAGAACTCTGCCAAGACTATCTCCTCATGAAATTTCTGGAAGTAAAATAATTAGATTTATATTTAACACTGCTATATTTAGCAGTTGTGAATGTTTCTAATGGAGCTAGATAAACAAAATCTTAATTTCTGATTTTATTTGCTTTTCATTTCCTACCACAGGATTCCTTTTTCTGGGTACCATACTGCTCTGTTGCACTTGTCTTTATTTTCATCCTGAGCTTTGGTGTTGGGCCAGGTTGGTATTTTCTACTGGAATGGTTTCAGGTACTCATTCCTTCCTCACTGCAGCCTTTAGGAGAGGTGCCAGGCATAGCTGCTCCACAGTTAGCATGAACCCCATCCCTACTCCTGATTCAGTGCAGGTGCAGATTTTTCCCTCCATACTGCAGTAGGAGATAAAACTTAATTTCCTATTGCATTCCCACATCCTTCCTCCTCAAGAGCCAGGCAGCACCTCAAACACTTCCAGGTCATTTAAAGCCATAAACCTATGCAACAATATGAAGTGTGAGGTACAGAAGCATCTTGCAAAATTTCTAAGTTTCCTTCTTTTCTTCAATACTTTTTTCAGGTGGTGTGTTATGCTCCTTGATCACAGAAATTTTTATTCAGTCATACAGAGCAGCTGCTGTTGTTTTTAATGGTCTTGTAAGCTGGATCCAGCTCTTCATCCTTGGACTTGTCTTCCCTTTCATTGTGGTAAGCAAAGCAGGGTGTTTTTGTCCCTGACCAAGATCTATAGTAAATACAAAACCAAAAAGTCTATATCATAAGAGAAAGAAATAGAGATAAATTCTTATGAACATATTTTGTCTCTTTCTTTTCCCGTAGGAAGGCCTTGGTAATTTCTGTTTCCTCATTTTCCTGACGTACTGTCTGACCGTGGCTGTCTTTGTCTTCCTGGTGATGCCAGAACCCAAAGGAAAGACCATGCTGCAGATCCTGGAGGAGTTCAACCGCCTCAACTACCGCGGAAAGAAGAGACAGACAGTCCTACAGCAGAGTAACTGCTCGGTGATGACTGTCACTAGACTTTAACAACAAACCCTCCGCTTCATATTTTGCTCCTTTATTACTGTAGTGCCCAGAAGCCTCATTAAGCAATAGAGAATCCGTTGCTCCACAAAGAGCACAAGTGTGTATTTTAAAAATAATCACCTGCAGTGCAGGGTGCAGGATGAACTTAGTCGTTCTCTCCAACTCCTGAAACATGAGCTGAATTAATTCCTCTGCAGAAAAAAAATTGAACACAATATATAAAGAAATTTTGTCAGTCCCTCCAAGTTAGCAGTTGGTAAACTGAAAACATAGGATCTGCTATTTTTCTTGGCAAAACCAGGACTCCACAGTTGGAGAACATGAGTCTGGAAGGTCCAGAGATACAGCAGGTTTGCAAAGGTGAGAGCAAAAAAAGACAGAGCTTTGGTGTTGAAATTATCTGCTGTTAACAAGTCAGTGGTGATGAGCTTTCCCAGACAAGAAGCTTCAGTCCAGAAGAAAAGAAGTGTTTAGCTCCTTAATGCAGTGGAAGAAGAGCACCTTGCCTATCAGTAGACAGAATCAAAATGCACCATTTCTGCCTCTTCAACTGGAAAAAAATCCCTAGGGATATGTGAGCACTGAAAGAAAGCACGAGCAAAGAAAGCAGAGCTGCAGGGAATCATGAGTGGGCAAAGCCATGGTGGGCAGGTTCTCCTTCTTGATCGTGCAGTGTGTCTTCAGCCTGGAGAACACTGGGTTTCAATGGGATTGACTCCTGAGAGTAACTGGTACCAGTGAGACAAAAGAGAGTGGTGCCTCTCCTGGAGAACCCAATCTATGTGTCTGAGTGTTTGCTTCTCTCTCCAGGTGTCTGAATACTCCACATTTTCCTTATAAAACATAGTAAAAAGGGCTTCACTTTTTGTAGTCATTGCTATATGACATGACACATTTTTGGTCTTCTTCATGCTTTGCAGTTTACTGGTAAAGAAATAAAAAGCACTGACTAGGAAAACACACCCTACTGATCATGCCTGGATTTGGTTTTCATTAAATGAAGAGTCAGGGACAGAGGAGAGGCCATCTTTTGGGACTGTGTTATTGGGGTCAAGGAACACTGTATCTGTCTTTTCTGGAAATGAGATCTTCACTACTGACTGATGCAGGTGCCACACAATAAAATTTGCAAAAGGACTTGAATACTGAGCAGCAGTTTCTTTCACAGCCCTAAGGCTCCTGCTATTTTATCTTCACACCATTCTCTAGCAGTATTTGTAGCAGTGCCAAAAGCTAATACCAGGAGCAGGGGACTTCCCCAGTACAACCATCCTTCCTATGACAATCATCATAGTACCAAAAAAGCTAGATAAAGTCCATAGTTTCAGGGCTTGAGGTTATGGATTGCACAGTACCAAGTTAAGAACCAACATACATTCCTTCTTCTGGTCAAAAATGTGGGGGAAAAAAAAAAGAGAAGAAACATTTAAAGTATTTTAAAAAGAATCAGGTAAGACCTTGATTATTTTAAAAGTCTTTATTTGGTCTGGACTTTCTAAACCTTACTGGTTCCCAGTGAAAAAGTTTTTACTGTCTTATGAGACATTAAAAACTCATTTCCTTCTACATGTTTTTCTACAGGGTGATCTTGTCCAAAGTGCCTTACTTTTTTTCTCCTACTAGTAAATACTGTCCACAAGAGGGAAGTGTGGTAAATCATTAGCACTGCCATAAACTAGCATGGATTGGGAATAAAGGTTAAAGAAGTATTTGTGAATCTGCCATGTAGGATCCAGGATCACACAAGTGCTACACAGGGCATCTTTGAAGACAAAATTCCCTCTGAGCCAAGGGTATTGAGTGAGCTCCAGACTGGGTCCGGAATACATTTCTTGTAGTGTTCAAATCCTAGGTGAAAAGATTTGTACTGTCCTCTTTTTTAGGAAAATAAATAAGAACTATAGTAAGCATCTAAGGCTTTCTTTTTCCATAGTACAGCACTGAACAAAAGTGTGAGGCCAGATGAAAATGAGAGAGCAGTATGAGTACTCTAGGAGAGACACAGACAACAGGAGGAAGAGGAACAGGGCTCTGCAGGGACTGTTTGGTCAACCAGATGTTAAAATCTGGCCACAGTGTTTAAAAACCTCTCCAGAAAGACCCAGAACTGCCATGTGTGTCCTTCCTTCCTTCCAGTAGACAAGCTTCCCATCCTTAGCTCAAAGAAAAAATCCTCCTTCTCCCTCTAGTTCATCAAAGCTCATCATCTCCCCTGTCCACAGTCCCTCTCTGAGGCGCCTGAAAAGGGGTTTGCTCTGAGTCTGGCAGAACCCCTTTGGGATGGAAAAGAAAAAATAAAGGGGCAGTACAGACTTGAAGGGGCAGTACAGCATGAAGAAGTGTGGAAACTGGAATATGGGATCCCACTCTGGCCCCCAGTGGGTCAATTCCACTGTCACAGAGAGGCAAGAGTGAGGCTTCTGAGTGGTTCTGGAAAGAGTGTGACCCTCGGGGTGTTAGCAAGGACCCAATATACCAATAGTCCAATACTTCATTTCCTGCAACTGGGAAATTGTTCAAATCACTTCAAGCAACTGAAAATCTTATAGAAGGCAAGAAGAGGCATTACAGCTCAGCTACAATTCTAAGGGCATTATCTCTGGGGTAGAGTGGAGAGGAAGAAAAAGCTCCCTGCCTAAGATGCTTGTCAGAGAGGTGGAGAGGGACTCTGCTCCCCTGAAGGGAAGATGGTAGCACTGTCTGATTCCTCACACAACAGCAACATGCAGGTGTTTTAGCAGTGTGAGTAAAGGGGAGCACTCCCAATTCAAGGATAAACATTTACCAGTGTTGTAATCAGCTTGTCGTATCTGGGTCTTAGAATAATTAAACCAGCAAGAAGAGGCCCTGGCCAGTGTCAGAGGAGGACATAGTTTGCTAAAAGCCATGTAGTTAGAATTTAACTTCTGCGCTGTGATCCCAAACTCTTACAGTCTCAGTGAGGAAACCATCTCTCTCATCTGACAGAGTTGACAGGAGCTCTCAGAGAGGGCAGGGTTTCAAGGGAAAATGTCTGGTTTCCTTTCAGACCTGGTGAGTATCCAACTTCTTGTGTTCTAGCCCTAGTCATTGACAGCAGCATGGTCTTAAAGATTACAGCAAAGGGAATCAAGCAGTCCTTGTAATAAAAATGAGCAACAGAACATGTGTTTGGGACAACACCAGTTCAGCAATACGAGTTCTGGCATCTCCAGAAAACAGATTAGAACTACAAAAGAGTGAGACGCTTAAAAGAGAACTTGGGAAACCAGGAAAGAATGAGCATTTTGAGGCAGATAAAGAAAATAGTAACAATGAAAAAGACAAAACAGAGAAAAAACCTCCCACTCCACTCTACAGCCCTGCACTCTCAAGGATATTTGAAGATACTTGTTTGTTTTAAGTGTGACCTGACTAAATACCTGAAAACATATGTGCTTGTGAGAGGTGCTCTAAAATTCAGTGCACGTCACGGAAACACAGCATTTCAAAAACGAGTCAGTCAGGCAGGGACTCTAAAAATGGCAAATGGCATTCCCTGTGGGGATAATAAAGGGGAAATGTAAAAAAAAAAAACAAAACCAAAAATTTAAGAGGACAGACTTGATTAATCTCTGGAAAGTGATGAACAATGTATTTGAGGAGGCAAAGTTGAAAGCAAAAAAGGGATTCAAGAATGTTGTAGTGTCTTTCTAGCACAAAACTAAACACAAACTACCTGAACAAGGCTTTTATGATTTTTTTCCCCCATAATTACCAGAACTAACAGAATTAGAGACTGCATCTTTTCAGGCTCCTAATGACCAGGACAGGAGCATAACGGAATGGGCAGATTTGCATTTTAACAATTTCTCATTAATTTCGTTTGATTACTGAAAAATAAAAAATGGGTATTTGCATTTTGAAGGTTTCTTAATAATAGAGATGTGGAGATATAAGATCCCATAAATTATCTGGTCTGAAAGCCATGGTGGCATCAGGAACTTAGGATGTGTTTCACTGTCTTTGGCAGGTCCAATACCGGAAGCTGTTGCTGATGATTGTGGTGCTGGGAATTGGTGGAACCCACCTCTCTGGTTTTCAAATGTCTGTGATCAATTATACTTCTCCTGTAAGCAAAGCCTTCATAAAATCACATCTCCAAGTGTTCCTCGTGGGACTAGGCCTTACACTTTAAAAATGCTCTGCCAAAGCTCTTAGGTGTTGCTGTGCCAGTTTATTCATAGCTCTTTCCATGATTGTTGGGAGCTGTGCTGCAAAAACAACTCCACAGAGAATTTCGTGGAAACAACATATTGAGATATCTTCCTCAAAGTTTATGTCATGGAGAGAAAAGATTAAAAACTAGCTGATGGAGCCTCAACCTTCAGCTCAGCCCTTTTCTCTTTGTATCTGCTACCTACAACAAGAACATTTGCATTTCACTATGAGTAAAGGGCCCCTATATTTAGTGTAGGAGAACAAGGATTCAACACACTAAAGATTATAATTAATTTTTGAAAGGTTCTATTACACTATTGGGCTGTATGAGAGGAAATATCAATCTCAATTTACAAACGAGTGTCCTTGAGCCATGTTTTCTGTAATGCCAATAACCTCATTTTTTCCAAGTTGTAAACATTATGAAGAACTACTGTGATTAGTGCCTCAGTGGAATGCAAATCTCTTTTTCTGTCCCAGTACATTCAGAAGTTTATCAATGAAACGTGGCTGGAGCGATACGGTTCTGTGCTGCACCAGGAGACCCTCACGTTGCTGTGGTCCGTCGTTGTGTCCCTGTACTGCCTGGGTGGGATGATGGGGTGTCTGTGCAGTGGGTACCTGACTGCAAAATTTGGAAAGTAAGTGTATCTGCCAACAGCTCTATACTCAGGGCTGCAGCAGAAGAAGGAATTAATTAGTCACCTAATAAAAGGGATATCAGAATCTCACTGCCACCTGCTGTTGCAGAATTTACTCAGCACATAAAACTACACGAGTACATGGGAGAGATGGGAATGTGTGACTATTTCTGATTCCCTTGTCACAGCTTTTGCTGCCATACAATTCCTGTATATTTGCTGACATTTCAGTAAAAAATAAATCTCTGAAATTTCTTGTTTGGGCAGTAATGCCATAGGAAGCCCAACAGCTCTGCAGTAGTGCAGAAGGAGATGGATATTCTGTAGGCAAAAGCTTTTTTTAATTTATTTATTTAATTGATCACAGGCTTCAAAAAAGTTGTGTCATTCCTCTGTAAGAATAATCAGAGTTCCAGCAAAGATAGCAGAAATCCCTCAGGCCACATTTAGAACCCTCTTTTTGGGGGTGCCATAAAGGACAAAGCGAAAACTCTCTCACTTGAGGTGGGCAGTGAAGCTGGATTTGCCTTGTTCTGGAGATGCAAGAAGTGTTTGAGATGGGAGCCTTGCCCACAGCAAAGAAGTGAAAAAGACTGTTCCTTATCAGTATTTATCCTGCAGGAATTTCCTTCAGCCTCATGGTTTGCTCACACAGTGTTAGCACGGATAAGAGGAATGTAGCTTCTCCCTTTCACTCCTCTGCGAAGACATCACGCCTTTTCAGAATCAGATTTGGTTGTCCTGTAAGGAATGGATTTAAACATGACCATAGGCTGGGTCTGTAAATCCAGGGGAGAACAGGCAGACATCAGTTAGGATGAAAAAGTAAAACCTGGCTCATACCCAGGTGTTGTTTGCTGTTGCAGGAAGAAATGTCTGTTGCTCAACGATGTGATCCTAATAATAGCCACGCTGCACACGGGCTTCAGCAGGACAGCCAAGTCTTTTGAGATGATCCTGGTTGGGCGCTTCCTCGAGGGCATCTGTGCTGGTAGGACTCCCCACTACTCCTTGTCAATGTGACTCCTTTGGGGTGGATACAGAAATCTTCCCGTTGGGAGTACCCAGGCATGCACAGTATTCCAGTGGAGCAAGGAACAGACTGGGAAAAGGTAAGATGAGCCGTCCTTTGCCTTCAAGAGGTCTGGTAGAGTGAGAAATCTGATGGATTAGCTAAATATCTTGCTTCAAGTAAAAGGTAAATTTTCAGTCTTATTGTGGAGGATGTATGGGAAACAGCTCAGAAGAGAGAGGACAGAGCAACCTTCAGCTGAAATGGAAATGAAAAGGGACCCTCTCTCTTTCTTTCTACACTTTTAGCAC